CTGCAACAGCCTCATGGAACTCAGTGATGACTTCATTAGCTTTCTGCACCCTGGTCATTCCCGGCAGCAGCACAACACAGGCCCAACAAAATCAACAAAAAAAGGTGTTCTAAAAATAGCTAACACAGTGCAGGTACTATTCTATAAGAAGAGACAAATACAGGAAGGAAGGAATGTGGAAGGAGGGAACAAGATAGGAGTCACAAAAATAAGAAAGGAAGAGGAGAAAGGTGAGAGGAGAAAGAAAAGAGGTTTGGAGGATAGGAGAGAAGAGGAAAGGAGAGAGGAGAAGAGAGAGGCAATCAGAGAATAAAATAAGAGAGGAAAGGAAAGGAGAGGAGAGGAGAGGAACGGAGAGGAAAAAGGAGAAGCAATCACAGGGTAGGATATGAGAGCAGAGGAAAGGACTGGAGAGGATAAGATGACAGCATAGGAAAGGATAGGAAATGATGAGAGAGGAGAGGAGGGAGGACGGAGGAGAGAGGAGAGGGATAGGAGGATAAAATAGAAGAGGATATGAGAGGAGTGGAGTAGAATCAGACAATAGGATATAGAATAGGAAAAGGTAAGGAAAGGAGAGGAGAGGAGGGAGGACGGAGGAGAGAGGAGAGGGATAGGAGGATAAAATAGAAGAGGATATGAGAGGAGTGGAGTAGAATCAGACAATAGGATATAGAATAGGAAAAGGTAAGGAAAGGAGAGGAGAGGAGAGGAACGGAGAGGAAAAAGGAGAAGCAATCACAGGGTAGGATATGAGAGCAGAGGAAAGGACTGGAGAGGATAAGATGACAGCATAGGAAAGGATAGGAAATGATGAGAGAGGAGAGGAGGGAGGACGGAGGAGAGAGGAGAGGGATAGGAGGATAAAATAGAAGAGGATATGAGAGGAGTGGAGTAGAATCAGACAATAGGATATAGAATAGGAAAAGGTAAGGAAAGGAGAGGAGAGGAGAGGAACGGAGAGGAAAAAGGAGAAGCAATCACAGGGTAGGATATGAGAGCAGAGGAAAGGACTGGAGAGGATAAGATGACAGCATAGGAAAGGATAGGAAATGATGAGAGAGGAGAGGAGGGAGGACGGAGGAGAGAGGAGAGGGATAGGAGGATAAAATAGAAGAGGATATGAGAGGAGTGGAGTAGAATCAGACAATAGGATATAGAATAGGAAAAGGTAAGGAAAGGAGAGGAGAGGAGAGGAACGGAGAGGAAAAAGGAGAAGCAATCACAGGGTAGGATATGAGAGCAGAGGAAAGGACTGGAGAGGATAAGATGACAGCATAGGAAAGGATAGGAAATGATGAGAGAGGAGAGGAGGGAGGACGGAGGAGAGAGGAGAGGGATAGGAGGATAAAATAGAAGAGGATATGAGAGGAGTGGAGTAGAATCAGACAATAGGATATAGAATAGGAAAAGGTAAGGAAAGGAGAGGAGAGGAGAGGAACGGAGAGGAAAAAGGAGAAGCAATCACAGGGTAGGATATGAGAGCAGAGGAAAGGACTGGAGAGGATAAGATGACAGCATAGGAAAGGATAGGAAATGATGAGAGAGGAGAGGAGGGGAGGACGGAGGAGAGAGGAGAGGGATAGGAGGATAAAATAGAAGAGGATATGAGAGGAGTGGAGTAGAATCAGACAATAGGATATAGAATAGGAAAAGGTAAGGAAAGGACAGGACAGCATGGATAGGATAGGATCAGACAGACAGAGAAGAGAAGAGAATGACAAGGTTAAAGAAAATAAGAAAAAGATGGGCTAAAGGGAAAGAACAGATTGGAAGCACAAAAGTGAGAAAGCATTCCTTCAGAAAGACATTTCAAGAAAGCAAAAAGAAACTTAGAAACAGAATGGCAGGAGAGCGGAAAGGACGAGGCCAACAGTAGACTTCCTGAATTTGCCTTCTTCACAGAGGTACGTGATGGTGAAAGCAATAAAGTACAAACAGTGACAGGTCAACAAAAAATTCTCAACTTTTCTTTAAACTAGTCCAAATGTACAAGGATAGAATAGCAATCAAGCATATTTCTGAATAACTGAAGCTGCAAAAGGGTTTTCTAGACACACAGATGCTACTTAGACTGAAATACTGGCTTTTGAAAATGAGGAACGACTGTGCTGAGAATCTTTTGCTCTACACATGCCAAGAAGCAAACCATAATTCAAAGGAACAATCCCCAAAAAATGAAATAAAGAAAGATAATAAAAAAAGAAAAAAAAAGAAGAAAAAAAAACTCACAAAAAAAAATCAAAACTTATTTACAACAATTAAGGCAACCAATTTACTGAATGCTGCATCAAACAATAACAACAACAATAATGATAATGATAATGATAATAATAAATAATAATAAAAACAGGAATATAGTATATAAGAAACTAATGCATCTACACCAACTCTTCAAACCTTAAGCTTAGCCATTATGAAAAAATACATTCCTAATATCTTAACTCTCCTACAGATCTAGGCTTATACTCACACAGGTAAACTTTGGACATATTGAGTG